AGCTTCCTTAACTTCCCTACCAAGACTTGGGTCCACATTAAATAGGAAGTTCTCTATAATCTCTTCCTCCGACCACTGACTCCGGCTGGCATGAAGCTCCCACTTCTCCAGATATTCTGTGATACCATAGTCCCTGAAGATAGGAGGCTCTAAGAACTTGTGCGTAATAATATAGCGGTCCTTGCTCTCGTAAGGGAGCGGATGTGACTCCCCTGTCTGGGGGTCGAAGACTCGCCTGGGCAGAGCCCTGTCTCTATCTCTGTCCCTCCAATAGGAATCCCTCAAATTCTCTCTTCAGTCGTCTCTGTACCTGTCCGCTATGGTGTCCCTCCGCTCGTACTCGGGGGAGCGCCGCCTCGTCGTTTCTCGTCGTCCGCTCGAGGTACCCGTCTTTAGAGCCTCCTGTGGCTCTGTCGCAACTGGTTCACCTCTCATGTCAGACCCTCCGTCATTGGTTTGGTCATCCCATCTTAGTGGTGCTTCTTGCCTAATTCGTTCCTTCAGTTCCCTCAGTGCTCGATCGGGCAATGCCCTGTACTCTTCTCCCGCTTCGCCCGTRGTCGGTTGTGGCCCCATCGTGTCGGGTTCCATTGGACCGTCAGAAGATACAGTTAGGTATTCTAGCCAACTGTTACAGCCCGACCCTATGACAGTCGCTGCAGCCCTGACCCGTGACAGTCGCGCCAGCCCGGACCTGTGACAGTCGCGGCAGCCCGGTCCTGTAACAGTCGCGGCAGCCCGGACCTATTTCTATGTCACGACTCACGTCCGCCTCCAATCTTAGCTCTCGACTGCCTTGATTACCACTTCCAGTGTCCCGTTCCGGTCGCAGATCTCGTGTCCTCCCTCTCTATCCCAAGAATCCCTGTGTCTAAGTAAACCTCTCATTCGGGATCGGCYAACAAGGCCGTGCCTCTCCGGATCTGCAGTACACCCGTGACAGGACCTCTATCCTTGAGACAGATCGGGGTCTCAAACCTAGCCAATGTCTCCTGATCAACACCCCTCAAGAGTCTCCGAGCGTCTCTCTCCGTCCTCCTTGCTAACTCTCCTAGCCCTGGTTAGCCCGCTAAAGGCCCTTCTACTGCCATCCAAAGTCGTCCATCGACCTTTCTAGCTTCCACTATCCTTCGAAGAGCTTCCAATTTCTATTTCCACTACCTTATCTTCTCAACAATTATGAGGTCATCTGTCTAACAGCTGAGGTAAGTTAGTGCTATAACGACCTGTAGCCTCATCGCTGACCGCTCCAATATGTCATAAAATGTCTCAAAGTCCTCACTATCTCCCCCTTTTTCTATCGCGTCTAAAGTCTTCATCGTTTCCTTCCAGTACCGGTTGTGAGCGGCTAACACCCTGAGTATTGCACCATCTGTTACTACTCTCCCTAACTCTCCAGCTTTCTTGGCTTCGCTTATCTTCAACCTCTCAGCCTCTCTGGTCGTCTCGTACCATGCCCTTATCCGAGACCGCCCTTCGAAGGGTGTTACTCGGAGTACGTATTTTATCCTCCGTCCTCCTTCTATTCCAATCCAAAGCCCTGTCCCCCTTGCCTCACGCAGGGCACGGCGAAAACACTCTGTCTCCTCAACAATGCACAGTCTGGTATGGAGCTGGAGTTCTATGATCACTAACACTAATGGTCCATCCAGTCTCCCTACCACATGTAATGAGTACCAGTCCGTCGTGTGTAGTGCAGTCCCGCTCATGTCCCGTCGCTACTCCCCTGCGTAACTTTGTCTTCCATTGTCTCGCTTTCTGCAGATCGCTTACTAGTTTCTCTGCGTGATACGCTTCTAGCCTTTACCCTCTCCAGAAAGTCTGATCTCTACGCCTGGATAATCTTTCTTTCTTCCCTAAACAGATTGTCTAACTCTCTTGTCACAAGTTCAGCCCTTCGCAACTTGCCCTCGTCTTGACACGACCAGATCTCCCTTAACTTGTCCCCCAACTTCTTTACCTGGTTCAAGAGTGGTTCTTTAACGCGCTTTCTCACTCTTCCGACTGCCTCACTCTCCTCTTCCATACTCAGTCCACATCTTTCTCCAGCTCACCCTCTCACCCTCGCTCTAGCCTCCGCTACCGTCTCATCGTGGTAGTGTTCCGCGCGCATATAACCATGAGACCATATCATCACATCATAGGAAATCGAGGTCTGGAAGGTCACTTGCGCCAGTACATCAGCTCTACGCTCGTGGATCAAATCCCTAGCTCGTAGTCTACACTCACTCGCCGTCAAGTCCTCGTCTACGTACGCTCGGAGAAGTACTGTCACAGTGTATCCTGTGCTTACCAGTTGCTCTTCTACACGCATCGCCGTGGTCGTCCTTCCCGGCATTCCCTAAGCTGCGACCTCGAAGAGAAATCTCGCGCCCTCTAGCCCCGCGTAATCGATCTCTGCCCGTCTCCTGCAGTACCTAATCAGATCGATAGGCCTCAGACAGTCCACCCAACTCGTAACATCTATGATGTCGTCAAGGGTCTCTCTACTGGGCGGCCCCCACCTCGCACAAATGGCGCAGTATACTTCCTTGAAGCGGGGCGCTAAGCCCTCCCAGAGCGCGTAAAGTGTGTGATCCACTGCTCTCCTTAAACGATCCACGCTCCCATAGGTTTGCCCTATCACGAAGGTAGGAACTCCGAACCGCCAATCCTTTCTCGGGTAGAGGGTCGGATGTGGTGGACCGTATACCAAGCAGCTCCTACTCGTCCTCCCTCCAGCAAGTCTCGCTAATTTCTGATTAACGATCACTCTGGCCAACAACTCGCTTCTCCACCAGCTCCTGCTCGCCCCTGCAAGCGTTAGCCCTATCTCCAAATCGTGTGTTCTATCCGCTATTAGATGTCCGACCCCTTCTAGATCATGAGTCCTCTCGGGTCGCTCGTCTCGTAGTATCACTGTCCATAGGAAGAGCCCCTCAGCGAGCCACGTTCCCAAGTATCGTATCGGTACACGCCCTGCCTCTTCTAACGCCACAGGAAGTGGTATGTCGTATCCAACCGCCGTCTGTCTGGGTCTCACAAGCTTCCTCACGCTATACGATTCGGACTCCCGTGAGAAAACATAAGCTAACCAGGCCGCTGAGTCACTCCTCATTTCTTCTCCTACTCTTGGTCAGCATCACTCTACTCCCTCCGATGCACTCCATCTCTCGACGTTGCTGACCCTTCTGACAAGTCTCGCGCTCAGATCCAGTATGATCGAATAGGTTCAGTAGCCTGGCTCACTCAACCGTCGCCCTGGTGCGCTCCTCTACCTCCTATGCCCGGACCGCTACTCCTATCCTGGGAAAATGGGCGTCTATAACGTCAATCTCCTCGTCGTCAACCTCACTCTCTGGGTCGACCCAGTCTGGCTCCCACAGCTTCTCGTCGTCTTCTCGCTCCCAACCCTCGTTGTCAAACTCGTCCTCGACGCGGTATGGCGCCTGTCCTATGGACTGGTAGTATTCCGCCAACTGATGGCCGTATATCAGAGGTCGCCCGGCGTCCTCACTCCACCAGCTCCCCCAGTCGTCTGAGAAGAGCCGCCCGATGCAGGTCACGTACTCGAGGCCTGCTCAGAGCTCACGGTCTAGCCAATCCCAAACGCACGGAGGCTGGGGCCACTCGTCGTCTATCGAGCGGATCAGCTCTATAAGCTGAACTCTCTCGTCTCCCCAACGAGGCCCACCAGTCGTGAGCGAATAATAGATATAGTCCAGGTTGGCAGGTCTTCTCGCCAGGATCTTGAGATCCTGATAAGCCAGGTATGTCTCGACCACTCCACCAATACCTCCAAAGACGCTCTCTACTATGAACGTCGGAACTATCGCCCGCAGGCTCCTAACGCTGTACGGAAAAAAACCGTCCCGTGCTATTACGAGCTCGCCCGTGATATCAAGAGGAGGACGTCCATGAAATAGGGTCAACGGGTCGCTCGCGTCCTCCGCTCGGAAAGCAGCTACCTCTTCCCCTAGGTACCGTAGCACCCTGCTAACTGCGTCACTAGTCCCTGTCGTCGCGAGGCCCACCACGGCCTCCTTCACCGCACCCGGTCCCAAATACAAGTAGGCTCTCACTACGCCCACTCCTTGCCCCGACCGGTGCTCTCTGTACGTCCAACGCCACACGTCCTCGGACAGGATTATGGACCTCCACGCAAACTGGCCGTCAGCGTGTCGAATGCTGCGTCCGGGGATCGTGAGCTCGACCAGATCCCCCTCTATGAGTTCAGGGGGCTCTAAGTCCCAGTCAATGGTAGCCCCATAAACCTCTACTTGCACCCAGGGCCACATTCAACTGACGGCTAAAGAGAACCCAGCAAGCGGAAGGTGTAGATTAATAACTGAAAAATTCGCGTCGCTTGCCTCACGCCTTCGAGAACAAGCGAGTAGGATCACCTGAAACCAGGTTACCGCAACGTCCCTTTCCCTTCTTCTTCTAGGGAATTCTTTTGTATTTTTTTATTATAAATTAAAGAAAATGTATTTAGTTAAGTTAAATTTTCTTTCTTAGTTTATATATATTAAGGATCAATACTTATATAAGCCCGCCGAGTTTGATGCTTTTCAGGGGAAGAAATAAAATTTCGGGATTTTTCTAAAATTTCGGCAGCGTTTCGCCTCCCCCTCGTTGGGATGGGGTTCGGGACTATTGTCCCAAGACAAATGCTACCTACCCAGAACTAAGCCAAATGAAACAAGAGAAAAGTCGCTTAAAAAAACAAATTTCTATCGTATTTATAATTAATTTCCCTAATCACTTTCAATATATATATATATATAAAAGTAAGAATTAATAATTTAAATTAGGAAATTTTGCGAAGTTTCGGCTGCATTTTGGCTCCCCCCCCGTTGGGGTAGGGTTTGGCCGAAGACCTCAAAATGTGGGCGAAAGATGTTTAACAAGAAAGATCAAGTATCTCAATTTTTAGCTAATTTTCAAGTATTTTTTTTAATTATTTAAGATTTAATTGAATGAAATTGAGCAAATTGCCGAGTAATTTCGGCAGCACTTGGCTTCCCCCCCGTTGGGATGGGGTTAAGCGAAGTATCTCCGGAATCACAAGGTCGAAATAAAGTCGACTCCCCTTTCTTGTAGAATTTTAGATAATTACTTTGATTTTTAATTGATTTTAAATGACAAATTATTACTTAAACAAACTTACAACTTAAATTATTTAATAAAACAAAATTCCCAATATTGATTAATTTCAATTCGGTCAACTGGATTTATACAAAATTTTCTCATCACCGGTCGGATAGAAAGACTTGTATCCACCCGGCTACGCACCGCCCTTCCCTAACTTAGGGTTAGGGTTTTACCCTAATTAGGGTTTCCCCCAATTAGGGTTTTAGGGTTTTGCACGCCACCGCACGCCACCACGTCCAACTTCTCGAGGCAGAAAATTTTCCGTCGGTTTATAGTCAGTTAAAAGTCGGGTTCCAACGGATCACTTTTGCCGACTTCTGATTCTTTTTTATTTTTATAAAAATACTAAGAAAATCACTAATTCCTCTTAATTTTTCCCTCTTTTCCTGTCTGTTGGCGGTCACCACTCGTTCTAACGGAGTCCGTTTTCCCCGACTAAGGTCTCAAAATGTCGGGAAAAATACAAGGACCAACTTTGGTCCGGGCGAGGTTCACCTAATCTCGCTTTTTTTCGTCGTAATTAAAATAAAAGAAAATTCATGATTTTTGGAATTTTAATTAGAAAAATACAAAAAAATTCATATCTCCTTTTCTAGCCATTAGAATTTCTCAAAAAACGTCTCAAAACGTTCGCCTCGACGAGAGGTCGAACTTTGCTCTCCGTACTCCTCGCGCAAAAACGCGCGGATCGGGAGATATCGAAAAAAAACTAATTCAAAAAATATCAAAAAATGAAACTAATCAAGGAAATGAGCTAATTAGTGCTTGAACTCATCAGCCCGTGCACCCCCCGTTGATCGGGGAAGGCCGCGGCCTTGGGGGTGCTGCTCCCCTCCTCGGCAACGGCGCCACAGTTGTTAGGAAAACCCGGGGAGGGGTCGCCTACCGCTCGTTGAAGCCAGGGGCAACAGCGCCTGTCACTCGCTGTGACCGCTTCCGTGGCCCTCAACGAGCAGCAGGGATCTAGGTAGGAGGCGCCCTGTCACGCTACCTATTTTTCTATTCACTTTCTTCTTTATTCTGCAACTTCACGCCGTCTACAGTTTCAATGAGCCAGCCGGTAAATCAACAGGTTCAAACAATAATGAGTCTCATTAGTCAAACAACAAAACAACTGATTCAGACAGCAATGAGTTTCAATAGTCTACCAGCAAATTGGCCGCAATTACCTTCAATAGACAAACGAAAATTTGGAAGCCAGAGTGTCACAGCATACGAGTACTACTCAAGTAGCAATATAACAAATAAATAAATAGAAAGATAAACAAACATATTACCTTAATATCCGAACCGGATCTGATTTCACACTGTAGAGATTCCCTTTGACATCAATCGAACGGACAGTCTGTTTGGGGTTTGTACACCCCCCCCCCCCTTCTCAACCATCTAATGAGGAGCCAATATGTTTCAGCACTGCGGGGTTCAAAGCACTGGAGCCACCCTTCAATGGGACTGTATCCTCAGTTCCCCCGTCCTAAAGCAAGGGAGCACGACTCAAGAAAGTTCTCAGATCAGAGCATCGGTTGTCATGCATGTCAAGCGAACGAGGGTCGGGCGAGGGTAAACGGTTCTGACTTTCAACAGAGACGTCAAACTTGGAGATCGCTCCGTCAGTTCTCTAGAGAATGTTCGCCGCTGAATAAACCCAGTCCTAGACGGGGCAGCGGGCCTTAACTCGGGTCAGCTTCAGCCGCCCGCGCTGCCACTTGCTTTCACTCTCATCGGGAAGACGTCARACATGTGTACTAATTTCACGCTTTCACGCTCTGATTTGTATCCCCCCTTCTGTCCAAATCTTGCRCTCTCTCTCTTTCGGTCATAAACACTCACACGCACGTTTGCACATTCTGTCCCGAGAGTCCTTTGTCATTCTTAGCCCAGGTWCTAGCTGATCGGGACGGSACCTGTATCTGGTTGCGTTGGCTGTTGGAGGAAGAAAGCTCGTTTACAGAATTATGGCAGATCGTSCAACTTTTCGAGTCCGTGTCCACTGCTCAACCCCTCTCTCCCCACTCTCATGCTCAAATGACCAGAATCRAGCTAGCCTTCCTTTATCACGCTCGTGAACTCCSTGAGTTTCGRTMACTCRGTTCAAACGGGGTTCTCAMGRTAACCYTGATAAWGTCATGGGGAAATCGCGCCTCGTCACACACGAGGGCTGGAATCCTAGTCAAGCAAACACGARAGAACWTGAACGGGGATTTRCCGCTTAGCCGTTTCACTTGTAGGGGGCGCTGAGCGTGCGTGTCAGAGTTACCTTTGTTCGCYCGTCTTCATTTCATACATCATAGGCCAGCTCTTGCTCCCCTGCMAGAGCACAGTGGGATCTGCCAGCTRCMGGCATAGAGCCCTCCTGAMTGCCCTTTCAAACTAGTCTTGAGAACTGCAGCTCGTACACGTGAAGGATCGCGAACACGAACTTGGGTGTCTCAGATTTCAGCGTACTCCAGGCACGCGTCGTTAGTATCTCACGAGGGGTGCAGGCTCTGCTGGCTGATCCAGCCAGGCCCTTGCTCGCTTGTTTACACGCCAGTCTCTGTGTTCGYCGTACGGTCTCCYCTTCACACAACCATACCATCCAACATTCTTCCGATATCTGTCCAGAGTACCCGGGGSCAGCGCACACAGCTGGCATGCTCTTCTACCTATGGCGCACGTCASATACTCACGTACTGTGTTTCCCTCCTTGCATGCGCACGCCGTAGCGCCTAGGGGACCAGCCAGTCTGAAATCCTGACTCAACGAGTGGAGGGCTGGGTACACCGTGCGCACTGTGTYCCYCCCTTTGYCGCTCGGYTACATATTCTCTCTCCCCTTGACTGGGGCTAGCGCAGCAGTTCCTGCAGTACTGGCCGCATCGGCGCTATTGCCCCCGAGGACCAGGGTCYAGTACCCAGGAATTAGGCCCTGSCCCCTCTAGCAGYAGCGCGAGGCCAAAATCATAGTGCCTCTCCGGACCATCCCTGTTCCCAGATCAGGGACCATTTCTTCAACAGCAGCACGCCGCTCCGATGATCATGTTCCCGACTGCAGTCTGCAGACCCCGTCCGAAAGCGGTACCAAACAATCTCGAGTATACCAAGCCAACGTCCATTCCAGATCAATAGCACGGGACCTTAGACAATCGTTCCAGAACTGAGCCGATGAAGGGGAAGAGCCCAATGAGGCTGAACTACAATATGYCATTTTAAAGCCGTACCCGTCACCGAACCACAAAAGAATGGGAACAGGCTACAGTAGACTGTCCCAGTACCAAGCCTGTGTCGAGCCAATACCGAACTGAAATGATCCTCCCCAACARCAKCAACCCACACCAGTCCAATGCTGAAYACCRTGTGATGCTGCAAACATCGTGCCAGTTCCGTACCTGTCCCGAACCTGTGTACCATCGCTGTTCCAGACCAGCTGCTTCAATAGACAAACGATAATTCGACCGGTTCAAGCAGCAAAGAGTCTTAATGACGTAGTCATGCCAGCTTTGYGTCACCATACCTGAGCCGAACCCGACCTCTCTGAATTACAGCAGCCTGTGCCGTCACCAACGCCGAATACCGTACTTGTGCAGCAATGYCGTGATAGTACCGATCATGAAACACACCGTCATAGTGGCGCCGGGCGTGGAAGTACTCTACGGGAAAGGTCCCGAACCTGGTAATAAATCTCCATCGTGGCCGCCCACTCACCGTAGCGGCCCCAAGCCTGAAGCAATGTGCCGCCGAGCCCATTCCGAACCAGATTCACACCGAATACCGTAGGACRTAGCCAGTTCGCAACAATACCGAATCTCTCCGAGCCACGTATCCGTACCACGCCAAATGCCATCCTGTCTGTCCAAGGTAGCACCATCCCACGCCGTCCATGCGACTACGGGCTARCTCAGTGAGGTTAGTAATCATAATCAGATAAACYGGAAAGTTCAGAGAATTCGATCAGATCTGGGTTCCGCCCCAACGGCGGTTWTTCCATGCGAAGTCAGAGCACGCATCGAGTAATCATTAATTTYTGTTCGTCTGTTCACTTTTTAATTACCCTTCTCTTTTCTTAATTCTATTGTCCGAATTAACATAATAATCGCAAATTCTCAAAAATTAATTCCCGAAGGGTTTAAAARGGARTAGTTGAARTTCTYTCGTTCCCCTTTTCCMTTCTTCATTTTTAGTMTTYTYCCCATTTTCAATTTCATTGCCGGAAACATAAAATAACAAGGGTAT